AGAGCATTTGCCCTAGGCCCGCAAGATGTGCTTCCCTCTAATGATGTGGTGACAGGTACTTTTTTAATTTGTGGTTTTGATGCATTGGTCTTATTTGAACCTGGAGCTTCCCATTCTTTTATTTTCTCTAATTTTGTGTCAAGATTGAATAGACTTTTTGAAATAATGAAAGAACCGTTGGTAGTGACAACCCCTTTGAAAGAAATGTAGATGGAAAAGTTTGTTTATAAGTCTTGCGTAGTTCAAGTCAATGATCGGGAGACCTTGGTGGATTTTGTGTTATTAATGACATTAGGATTTGATGCTATATTAGGAATGGATTAGCTGTATGATTTTTATGCCAACGTTGATTGTCCTTATAAATATGTGGAATTTAAGTTTCTTGGAGAAGTCCCTTTTATTATATATGGACATAAGAGTCCGTGCAATCAAAAGATATTGGCAGGGGTCACTAGAGTGGAAACCAGACAGAATTACCTAGCGTGTGTAGTAGCCACGGAAGAAATGCCGATGGTGGAAAGTTTTTTTCATATTAAAATAGTGCCAATAATTAATGAGTTCGAAGATGTGTTTCCAGATTAATTACCAGAGCTGCCCCCAGAAAGAGAAGTTAAATTTTGTATTAATTTGATTCTTGACACGAAACCAATATCTGAAGTTCCCTATCGAATGGCACCGACAGAAATGCGAATGTTACGAGAGCAATTGCAAGAGTTAGGACAAAAGGGATTTATTCGTCCAAGTACTTCCCCTTGGGGAGCTCCGGTAATATTTGTAAAGAAAAAGGATGGGAGTTTGAGGTTGTGTGTGGATTATCGAAAGTTAAACAATGTGACTATTAAGAATAAATACCCACTTCCCAAGATTGATGATTTATTTGATCAACTGCAAGGAGCAAGATGTTTCTCAAAAATCGATCTACGCTCGGAGTATCACCAATTAAGAGTTTGGGAAGAGGATATACCAAAGACTGCATTCCGTATGAGGTATGGACATTTTTAGTTTTTGGTAATATCTTTTGGTTTGACTAATGCCCCCGCCACATTCATGGATTTAATGAATTGAGTATTCTGGCCTTATTTGGATAGATTTGTGGTGGTATTTATTGATGATATCTTGGTGTATTCTCGAAGTCTTGAAAAGCATGCACAACACTTAAGGATGGTGTTGCAGACACTTCGGGAACATGAATTCTATGCGAAGTTCTCTAAATGTGCTTTTTGGTTAGAAAGTGTTAGTTTTCTCAAACATGTAATATCAAAGGAAGGGATTAGTGTGGATCTGCAAAAAGTTGCATCGATTCAAACTTGGTTAAGGCCGAGTACAGTTACTGAGATTCGAAGTTTTTTGGGATTGGCCGAGTATTATCGTCGATTTGTGCAGGATTTCTAGACGATTGCGGCACCATTGACAAAGTTGATGCAGAAGGGAGCTAAGTTTGAATGGACTGATGAATGTGAAGATAGTTTCTTAATATTAAAGGCGTGTTTGATGTCAGCGCCAATCTTAAGTTTACCAACTGGTTCAGGAGGGTATGTTGTGTATTGTGATGCATCAAGGGTCGGATTGGGATGTGTGTTGATGCAAAACGAAAGAGTTATAGCCTACGCCTCGAGGCAACTTAAGAAGCATGAGTAGAATTATCCTACCTATGATTTAGAGATGGTAGCGATAGTGTTTGCCTTAAAAATTTGGCATCATTATCTATATGGGGAAAGTTTTGAAATATATACTAATCACAAGAGTTTGAAGATATATTTCAGCAACGTGATCTTAATTTAAGGCAACGCTGATGGATGGAACCGCTCAAAGATTACGATTGCATCATTCAGTGTCACCCCGGTAAGGCAAACATCGTAGTCGATGCCTTAAGTAAAAAATCTAT